AAGTTTCCTTGCAATCAGGTTAATTTCCTTTTCAACATTAATTTTTTATCTCTAAATTTGAACAAACGCTTTCTACTTGTATCAACGATTTTATAGTTTAAAGCATAAAACATACGCTTTTCATATTATGAAGAATGCCCGGCAAAATAAAAATACTTTTTATTAAACTATTGTTTACTTTATCATATTTACTCAATTCATCGTGAAATTCATAATGAACGTGCTGTAAAGTACGTATAAAGTATATATAAAGTTGAATTAGCTGTACAGCATACCAAGTGTGCTATAAAGTTTTGATTGGTTCCCGGATTTTCTCCAAAAAAAAGGATATTTCCAAACTAATTGTTTTAATTGAAATGAAAATAAAATTGAAATTAACTTTATTTTTGTTACTTTTGCTTTGTTTCAAAGCATATTTGATCTATAGAAATAGCCATTTAAATAAGACAAGTACACTTCACAAACGTTTCAGAAAATTACCTATAACACTATTATTTTGACACGACGTGCTATAAAGTTTTTGGACTTAAATTATCATGAAGGTTCTCGCCTTTTTTTAGATTATATTTGTTCCTCGCTAAAGCTTGGGACAAAATTAAATCTAAAAAGGCTTGAACCTTCTCGATAAAGAGAAAATTTCTGCCCAAAAACTGTATAGCACTGCAAACCAAAATAACAATGTTATAAATAGTTATTATACTATTCTACAAGATTTCAAGCTTCTAGTTTAATTGAAGATTATTAATGATGAAGTATTTTATTAAATAACACAGATTTGTGCGAAGAGAAAATACCATTATTCATGTGTAATTATATCAGCAGACAGGATTATCCACAAAATATGAGACTGTAAAGACGACCTTGAACTCCTAAAATACAAGCAACTGAATATTTGATGGCATATATGGTATATATGGCATATATATGGCATATATAATAAGTGTTTAGCCTTATTCCTGTCTCTTGATTCTTTTCCTGTGTGACTAACCCTGACTTAGATAAAAAGATTTTAAACCCTCATTCATAAATTTCATGCTTAAACGTTCTGTCCTTTTTAGTAAAAACTTTAAAGTTTTCCCATAAAAGTAATTTTTCTGCTGAATTATCTTAATAATAAATGCTCTTTGCTTAAAAATATATACATAAATAAATGTTCGCCATAGCTGAACAAACGGCAGTATCAAAATGCTGATATTTTTTAGGGAATCCATGAGGGTATCGCGGAAATTTGAAAAAATGGATGCTCCATTGGCAACACCAGAGAATTTAGCTAAAGTCATGATTTAATGGCAAGCGGTGGGAGTAAATATAAATAATAATATTAACCTGAGTAATGTCAAGTACTCCAGCTAGTGGTAAAATAAGACATTTATATTTAAATCTGAGACGTTGGTTCCATTTATAAATCTAAATAAAAGAAAATTGGAACTTAAAGATAGAGAGATAGAAAGGCATCAACGAGACATTAATGTTTTCCGTAAATCATATTTAGAGAAACTACAACACAGTCCAAAAATTGATTAGAGTTCAACAATAAATACAGGCCACCATATTCAGATAGATAAATGGATATATGATCAGATAGATGGATAGATGGATATATGATCAGATAGATGGATAGATAAATGGATATATGATCAGATAGATGGATACATAAATGGATATATGATCAGATAGATTGATAGATAAATGGATATATGATCAGATAGATTGATAGATAAATGTATGTATGATCAGATAGATTGATAGATAAATGGATTTTTTTTTATCAGATAGATGGATAGATAAATGGATATATGATCAGATAGATGGATAGATAAATGGATATATGATCAGATAGATGGATAGATAAATGGATATATGATCAGATAGATGGATAGATAAATGGATATGAGATCATATATATGGATTATGGATAGATAAATGGATATATGATGAGATAGATGGATGGATAGATAAATGGATATGAGATCAGATAGATGGATAGATAGATGGATATATGATCAGATATAGATGGATAGATAAATGGATAAATTAGATAGATAGATATATAAATGGATATATGATTGGATAGATGGATAGATAAATGGATATATGATTGGATGGATGGATAGATAAATGGATATATGATCAGATAGATGGATAGATAAATGGATATATGATCAGATAGATTGATAGATAAATGAATATATGATCTGATAGATGGATAGATAAATGGATAAATTAGATAGATCTCTGAACCACCCTAGTCTTATTGTTCTTGCGTAAATATTGTGGTTTAGAGAAAGCAAGCATCTTGGAAACCTCATGACGAGGAATAGAGAAAAGTTTGAAGGGTAGGGGAGATTTAGACAAGTTTCTCATGAGTTGATGACAAGTTTGAAGTTTCCCAAGCGTTTGCTGCCTAAATCTGCATTCTTACATAATTTAACAGTCACAGAGAAAAATTTATTTAATGTTAAGATCGCAAACATTTAATTCAGAGCTACAGCTTACTGTTGTCGAAGTTATTGATATTTGAAATTGCGTAAAATCCTTAAAAAGTTAAAATGTCGGCCAACAAGATCAAAAGAACAGGAATTTTCCTTTTGCAATGTTAAAGATCATTAACTGCATTTCATCTACTTGTTAAAATTAAATTAATTACTGTTGATCAGTACTAATACTAATTGCAAAAAGTATAAAACATGAAAGATAAAACATGAAGGATGAAAAATCAAGGATAATACATAAAGGATATAACTTAAAATATAAAACATCGAGGATAAAACATCATGGATATAACATAAAGGATAAAAAATAATGGATATAACATAAAGGATATAACTTAAAATATAAAAAATCAAGGATAATACATCAAGGACAAAAACATCATGGATATAACATAAAGGATATAGCTAAAATTTAAAACATCAAAGATAAAACATCAAGGATAAAAAATCAATGGATATAACATAAAGGATATAAATTAAAATATAAAAAAATCAAGGATAGTACATCAAGGACAAAAACATCATGGATATAACATAAAGGATATAACTAAAATTTAAAACATCAAGGATAAAACATCAAGGATAAAACAACATGGATAAAACAACAAGGATTTACCATAAAGGATGAAACATCAAAGATAAAAAATTAAGGATATAACATAAAGGATAAAACATCATGTTCATGCATGCTCAAAGCTCCTGCCCTAATCTTCTTTTTTTCATTCATGCAGGTTTAAGTAAAGGAATTGAGTCTTTGCAACAAACTCTGATTCTCTAATCCCTATATCTTCTGATTCCAACGTCGTAAATCTTTGAAATTTCAAACTATGACTTTTGTTAGATCAAAAAATATAAGTTTGAAATATAAAAATTTTTACGACATTGGGTTCCAAAGATATTGGGATTATAAAATCAGATTTTGTGGCAAAGAGTCAATTCCTTTGCATGACAAAGTACAAATGTATATTTATATTTCTTTTCATGATTATGACAAGGTTTTGTTAATGTTGGTTACATTCATGCTCATAACTAACTTTATGTTTATGTTCATGTTTTAGTAAACAATATAGTGTTATAAATATACATTTTTTAAAATGAATATGTGAGCAATGAACAAGGATGAAACATCCGGGATAAAACATCAAAGATATAACATAAAGGATAAAACATTAAGGATATAACATTAAGGTTATAACATTAAGGATATAACATTAAGGATATAACATTAAGGATATAACATTAAGGATATAACATTAAGGATATAACATAAAGGATAAAACATTAAGGATAAAAGATCAAGGATATTTCATTAAGGATTAACATCAAGGATATAACCTTAAAGATAAAACATCGAGGATAAAACATCAAGGATAAAACATTTAAGAATGACACATCAAGGATTATACATCAAGGATTATACATCAAGGATAAAATATCAAGGATAAAACATAAAGGATAAAACATCAAGGATAAAACATCAAGGATATAATATAAAGATAAAACATCAAGGATATAATATCAAGATTAAAAATCAAGGATATAATATAAAGATAAAACATCAAGGATATAATATCAAGATAAAACATCAAGGATATAATATCAAGGATAAAACATCAAGGATTTTACATCAAGGATAAAACATCAAGGATAAAACATCAAGGATAAAACATCAAGTATAAAATATAAAGGATAAAACATCAAGGAAAAAACATCAAGGATATAATATCAAGGGTAAAACATCAAGGATAAACATTAAAGAATGAAACATCAAGGATAAAACATCAAGGATAAAACATCAAGGATGAAACATCAAGGATGAAACATCAAGGATGAAACATCAAGAACAAAACATCAAGGATAAAATATCAAGGATAATACATCAAGGATAAAACATCAAGGATAAAGCATAAAAGAATGCACCATCAAGAATAAAAAATCAAGGATAAAACATCAAGGATAATACATCAAGAATAAAACATAAAGTATAATACATCAAGAATAAAAAATCAAGGATAAAACATCAAGAATAAAACATTGAAGAGTGAAAAATCAGGGATAATACATCAAGGATAAAACATCATGGATAAAACATCAAGGATAAAACATCAAGTATAAAACATCAAGGATAAAACATTTTCACCGATATGAAAATATCAATTTTCAATGTAATTTTCATTGGATTAGGTCTCTTGCTTGTTCCTTTTTAATTTTGTATATGTACAGAATACAGAAGAGGTTTTAAGGAGTTTTAATCAAATCCTTTGATCCTTGAATTCATTAATAAGATGCATATAACTCTCCAGGCCCACTTAAGGGCTAGATAAAACACAAGATTAAGACCAGGCTTGAATTTGTCCCAGTGCAAGGTTTAACTATTTACTAAGTATACAATGAGAGTTAATATTTGGAGAACTGTCCTAAAATGTGAGATAAAGCGATATTAAACCCCGACATCTGAGACTAATAAAGATGGAAACCCATTTCTGGGTTTATCCTGAGTTCCGGAAACGATTGTCCGAGATATCGGGGGTATATCGACACAGAGGCTCCACTGCGGCCTCCATAAACAGGCCTCCGGTTCATCTTGCCAGTCCTAATACATCCGAGCTCCGGGTACCAGATTTATACTCATCAAACCAGTGATATCTGTGAGGATAGAACACAAGAATTCTACAAAAAGGTTGATTTCTATCCATCGTATAGGACGGTTTGGAGGCTTGGAGCCAGAGATACCTTCTCTAGGCTCGACTTAAGACTGAACTAAGATATTGTGATCTGCGAAAAAGTTGCAAAGTTTCAGGTATATTAAGAATTTTCACAGAAAATTAAATTAAATCATGGAAATTTAAGAAATAATTAATTAAACTATTTAGTCATGAAACTTCTCCTAAAAACTTTCTCTATTCTTCAAATGAATTAATTATTTGTCGATTTCATACAAAATCATATTTTCGAATACAAAGGTTTTAAAACCCGACTTGATCTATGCGACTCATAAAATTCATTAATTAAAAAAAAAACCGGTTTATAATTCATTACTATAATTTGACTGTCTAACCTTGATTGCTGATCATTAATCTTTCTGTTTTTCAGTAAAACCAAATGCATATTTTATGATAAGAGTAAACAAATTATAACAAATAAAACTTTCCGGGTATCGCCTATCTCAAACCGTGAATTGAAATGGAATCTTTACATACAAGCTTGCCTAATTAACAAGCATGCTTTTATTGATTTTTTTCTTCATTAGATGGGAAATATTTTATAAAAGTGGCGAAATCAAAATTAAAAGCCAAATCCAAAAATTAATACCCATCGAATTATTACCAAACACTGTTTCAGGCAGATTTAGTTTTAACATTGAAACTGATAGAATCTAATGATAAAACTCGTTCGGAACTTGGAATTTAGATGCATTTTTTAAAATTTCGCATAACATCTGGGTTTTCCCGGATTTTCTATTCTTAAAAATGTATATATTTCTGTTTCAATTTAAGAATGGAGTTTTCAACTTAAAAAGATTTTCCACATTATTTTAAGAAAATCTTTAGTTACAGATTTATGTCGGTTAGAAATTAATCCTTTACATAAGAAACGATTTTTCGAAACCATTTTTTCATAAAATTGTTTCGTGTCCACTTCTTTCCCGACATGGGTGGAATTGTACTGCCACAATTTTACCAAATGAATCCCACCATTTTATTGAGTTAAACGTGCAATTTTATTATGTGTTGTGTTCACATTTATTGGGATTTAGTTTACAGGTTTCATTACTGTTTAGGTTCTAGTTTTAGTGTTTATCTGCAGGAATTCTTTCCAACCCTGATGTTATTTGAAAATTCGATTTAACTTTTAGTGTTCAAGAATTTCCATTCTATTCTGGAGCAAAGTGGGGCTTTACAATATAAAGCACGTTTCTCTATTAGAAGATAAGGGTGTGTGTGAATTTGTGGGTACTGAGAGAAGGTTCAATTGATGTTCTCAAATATAATCTATCTCATCTTTTCCAGAGGTCGGAATTAATGAATAGCAAATACATGAGTGGCTTACCTACGAACGTAAGGATGATCAACTTTTCTTTAGGAGCTCAGTTCTCAGTAGTAGTTAAACTAGTCATACCTACTTCAAATACACTTACTATGAATTCTCCTAGATCTTACAATCAATCTGCACGGAAATATCAAAGGTTTACGCTATCTGGCGGCCAAGTAATATGGGTTTAAAAAATTACAGTTTGAGGCGAATTGTTTGTTTTGCTAGTATTGTATATGAATCAAAATCAATAAAGCAATGCACTGAGTTTCTCAAATATTCAACGAGTCGGTTTTTCTTACAATATATTTATATACAAAAGATACAAAAATACAAACTTTAAATCGAACGATACTTATACAAACTAAATATTATGAATCAGATCAGTTTCATCAAATAGGGGACATTTTTACATTTTGCATTTTCTCATCGTTTCACTTATACAAACTAAATATTATGAATCAAATCAGTTTCATCAAATAGGGGAATTCTTCAAGGGAACCTACACAGAGGGAGCTGGTCTTCAACTGCCTGTCCTCACTCGATTTTGCTCCATCCTAGGATCGCATTTAACCCTAGCTACCCCGGGGTTGTTCCGCCCCCTCCCCAACGCTTGGGTCTTCAAGATAACGGAAAATTCGGCGTCGCTTGGGTTATTTATAGAATCCAAATGCAAACTCAAATAAATCCGTTAGGATTCAAAATAGGACTCTAAAGTCCACCCGTAGGGTTAAAGATGGGGGGGGGGGAAAGGGGGCATGATTCCCCTTGGTAGCTATGATCTCAGCGATCCAAAAAATCCTTGAATTGCTGATCGTAAAAGATCAACAAAACTCGCCCACTGTTACACTAGGTCAGAATGTGTGTGTGCAATGGAGCTAAAATACAGCTTCTGGCGATTAAGCGTTTAATCCGCCAGAAACAGCTGATATATAGTTTTGCGATCTCCCTTATTGAGGTACGCAGAAGGAGTGCTGGACCACAAAAAGTGTAAAGACAGAAAATAAAGAACACATACAATTGCACTTATTTTTTACTGAAAAATAAGCTCTTTATTCTGAAATTATCACTATTATAAATAATTTTGTTGGACACAAAAACTTAGTTGACACTTATGACGTAAGAATACAGCTGTACTGAGAGTATGCAAATTCTACGTTGCCGTCTATTGTACTAGAATCTATTTGCTATATATAGTCTCTGCATTATCTGCAGTTCAAGAACAAAAGAGATTAATACAGTGAGAGTCATTAAACAGAATATGCACTGAACACTCAACAGATTAAACATCAGCCCGATCCTTGCAATAATCAGCATCAGTACAAGGATTGACTTTCTCGTACCAGCCCGTCTAGTGTACCCATTGTGATTTTTTCCAACAAAGTTAGGCAGGCTTAACCTATTTGATTACAGGTAGGTTCAGTATATAGACGGTAGGTTTAGTAGATGCAGTAGGTTTAGTATATGGTAGATTTAGTAGATGGTAGATTTGGTAGATGGTAGATTTAGGATGGTAAATTTTAAGGGTTAGATCATTTTTAAGACTCTAAATTTACTTTTTGAAAAGAATATTATTTAGAATATTAAATTACAATTAGTGATCAAGAAAATAATGAGGTGTTTCTGTCTTCTCAGATTTACTTTTCTTTCTTTATACACAAATAGACAAATAGACAAATAGACAAATAGACAAGTAGACAAATAGACAAATTGACAAATAGACAAATAGACAAATAGACAAATAGACAAATAGACAAATAGACAAATAGACAAATAGACAAATAGACAAATAGACAAAAAGACAAACAGACAAACAGACAAACAGACAAATAGGCAAATAGATAAATAAGCAAATAGACAAATAGATAAATAGACAAATAGACAAATAGACAAATAGACAAATAAACAAATAGACAAACAGACAAAAATACAAATAGACAAATAGGCAAATAGACAAATAGACAAATAGACAAAAAGACAAATATATAAATAGACATATAGACAAATAGACAAATAGACAAATAGATAAATAGACAAAAAGACAAATAGACAAATAGACAAATAGACAAATAGACAAATAGACAAATAGACAAATAGACAAACATACAAATAGACAAACACCCAAATAGACAAATAGACAAATAGACAAACAGACAAATAGACAAATTGACAAATAGACAAACAGACAAAAAGACAAATAGACAAATAGATTAATAGACAAACAGACAAATATATAAATAGACATATAGATAAATAGAAAAATAGACAAATAGACAAATAGATAAATAGACAAACATACAAATATACAAACACCCAAATAGACAAAAAGACAAGTAGACAAATAGACAAATATATAAAAATAGACAAAAAGAAAAATAGACAAATAGACATTTAGAAAAATAGAAAAATGGACAAATAGACGACAAGACAAAACGTTAATAGACAACTAAACTAATAGACAAATAAACTAATAGACAAATATACAAATAGAAAAATAGACAAATAGACGAATAGGCAAAGAAATAAAAGACAAATAAATAAATGGACAAAATACTTTTAAACAAATGGACAAACAGACAAGTAGACATAATAAAAAATGACAAATGGACAATTAAAAAATAGACGAAAAGAAATGAAGACGAATAGACAAACATATAGAAAGATAAATAGAAAAATATACGAATAGACAATAGACAGATAGACAAATAGAAAAAATTGACAAATAGAGAAAACGACGAATAGAGAAATGGCTAATATGCAATTACAATAATTAGATAATAGATACATATAATATATGTCCTTTTGTACATAATTATGTAGAATTTGGATAAATCTGTTTTACAAAAGTAAATCAGGAATTCTCTATATAAGCACCCTAACTGCTCAGTGCTCAGTCTAATGAATGTATTTGAGTTACTAACTGCAACAATTTATTCAAAAGCCAAGTTTGTCTCAATTTAATAACTAAACATTGCATCTGAGGAATTCATTAATTTAACTGTTCTAAAGAACTGCATTTATTTAAAGAATATTCACATTAATCAACTTTAATACTATAGTTAATTTCATATTTAATAATCAAATATATAGTTCACATAACGTTTAAAACTACATTCATTATCGACTTTAAATTGGGTCAAATCTATATTCTAAAAATATAATAGATACTAGAGTAATTTAAACCTGCATAGTAAATATAATTACGTTTTTATACTTCCTAGTGTAGAATAATACTATTGTAGCATTGGGAGAACATATAATTCAATTTGTATATAGGAGGGAAAAATATGTATATTGTTATACATTATACAGTATATACATTATACAGTATATGCAGTATACATGGTATACAAAGCTACAAATTGATGCATAGCACTTTGTACAAACATGGTTTCTTACTCCCTTGCTTCCTCAACACACATAAATAATGTTTTTTTTTATGCGATTTCTCATCAAATGGTATTCCCATCAAACAGTATATATACCCTTCAAATAGAACTTCCATTATATAGTGTATCCTTCAAACTGTATTTCTATCAAATAGTATTCCCATCAATTACCAACGAATATTAACTTCAAAGAGTATTCCCTTCAAACAGTATTCCCATCAACCCATAAACTAGTATTACCTTCAAACAGTTTTCCAATCAAATAGTATCCCTTCAAATAGTATTCCAATCAAATAGTATTCCCATGAAATAGTATTCCCATCAACTAGTATTCCCTTCAAATAGTATTCCCATCAAATGGTAAATTCCCTTCAAACTTCATAGAATTCCCATCAACTAGTATTTAGGATTTTAATAAAAATAAGAAAAGTGTGCTGGGTATGCTTAGTCCCTAGTATTCAACTGTTTATATAGGAAGTATAAAGGAAGAGGAACCAGATTAATATTCCGTGCAAACTCTGCACATTCAGAACAAACATTACAAAGCAGACAAACTGGACCTTCATAATAAATATCATACAGGGTTACCCACAAAGGAAGACACTTTAATACCCACAAGAAACGTCATTTGTATGAATAAGAATTTAAGTAAAATGAACTGAATAAAAGAATTGAGTCTTTGTATAATAATGCTGACTTGATTTATTTAAATTATCTTTATAGGAATTGATTTTTTTGTCACAAACTCTGATTTTCTCCACAACCTAATGTCGTAGACCCTAATTATTTCAAACAAAAAATTCTGTTAGATCTATTAGTTTAAATCATCAAAGCTTTATACCATCTGAGGCCTAATTTAAAGAATTTGAGTGTCGGCTTAACTTTAAGCCGCGGCTCAAATATGGTTGGTTTCGCTTAAAATTGTATTCACTGATTCAAGATTTAAGCCAGTTCTTAATTGAAACCGGTTTTTGGCGGATTTAAGACGCGGCTCAAATTCATTAAATTCGGACACAGGTTTCAATTAATGAGTTAATTGGCAACCTACTGATAATTCTTTTTACTTTACAACAACTTCAAATATCTACTTATATAATTAATTGGAAGTTGTCTTCGTTTTCAAATGTTTTATGGGTCAACTAGGTATGTATTTATTTCAATCCAAACTTGTTTTATCTTGAGTAAAATATTTAACGGAGCCTACATATATTTCTCAATTTTAATCCAAGATCCAACCTAGCTATTTCCAAGTTTGTATGCGGAGCACAACATGACTGAAGATTTGTGGTGGGCTTTCTTCAAGTAAATAGAATCCAGAAAAGAGAAATGAAAATATATTCAGAAATTGAATTTTGTAAAACGTTCCATTTATTCTGAGCACTCGACCCACTCCATAAACAAACGAATAGAATTTGACTTTTCAATTTTCAGATTTTTTAAAACCAGATATAGCTGCTGCCAGAAAAGTTATCCGATCTAAGAGGGAAGAGGGGGAGGGGCGGAGGTTATTACATCATTGCTTAGAGATCAAATTATTTTTATCAAAGAACGTATAAAAATAGTATCGGTCATGAGCTTTCAAAGCTTCTCTGCATTTAAAAATGGATCAAGGTCGGATTAAGTTAGAAATTTTAGATTTTATTTGAAAAATTTTGGAATTACCAAATTAACAGCTTACATTTGCAAGTAATAGTTTTGACTGAAATTATGTATATACTTATATATTGTGTTCACGAAAAAAAAGTCTCCAGTAAAAGGACGATTTAATTTTTCTTGAATTCGCATATTTTGTAGACATACTATAGATCTTGATCTATATCTATAGTCACAGTCCATGAAATATTTTATTTTTTCATTCCGTGATTTTTTAATCAATTTTATTTATTGTGAACGGAAATTGGTCATAAAAGCTTGCTAGACCACCAGCCATTGTTTCTATACAAATACAAATATAATATTTATAAAATGGTTCCTAACCTTTAGACTCAACAATAGCTTGAAAATAGAACACAATATTATAAAACGTACTTAAAGGAAGTGCTTTAAAAAAAATGGAGGACTTATATATAGTACTGGGCGTATGTCCCAAAAATTAGGGCATATATATAGAGTACTTGGCGCATGTCCCAAAAATGAGGGCATATATATAGAGTACTTGGCGCATGTCCCAAAAATTAGGGCATATATATAGAGTGCTGGGCGCATGTCCCAAAAAGGAGGGCTTATAGAGAGTACTGGGTGCATGTCCCAAAAAGGAGGGCATTTATAGGGTACTGGGCGCATGTCCCAAAAAGGAGGGTATATAAAGAGTACTGGGCGCATGTGCCAAAAAGGAGGGCTTATATAGAGTACTGGGTGCATGTCCCAAAAAGGAGGGCATATATAGAGTACTGGGCGCATGTCCCAAAAAGAGGGCTTTTATAGAGTACTGGGCGCATGTCCCAAAAAGGAGGGCATATATAGAGTACTGGGCGCATGTCCCAAGAAACGGGGGAAATGATTCGATCAAGAGGTTCATATAAAATCGGCAATTATGGGCCCTTAACTGAACATCAAAAATATATGATTCAAAACTTTTTAATTGAAGATTTTATTTTTTGCTTACGGTCTGATTCTATAAACTTTTAGAGCATCTCACAATATTATGTGCAATCCATAATTTAATCAAAATATCATTGTATAAAATGGTATCAAATGGCTTTACCATAAATCAGAATATTGGCTATCAAATATGTTATTGATCACTTGGAAGCGTTCACCCCCCCCCCCCACCGTTAGACTGTTCTAGAGGGGTGCAGGCCCTATAAATATGAAATAATGATAATGATAAGAGAGCAAGACATTTTTCGTTTTTGATAAATCATAAAATGTTAAATAAATCATTAAAATTTAATAGTAAAGAAAAAGTAATTGGTTTCTTGCCACATCACTGACTCAAATTTTCTAATACCTTTTTCTTTGCAATAATTCAAATGTAGATTATTTGATCCAACAAAATTCATAGTTTAAAATATCTCGGGTCTACGACATACGGGGTTGCAAAGATATAGGGACTAGAAAATCAGAGTATGTGGCAAAGACCTACTTTCTTTAAAATTTAATAATAATGAAACCTGATAAAGAATCAATCGTATGGTCTAATATTTTTTTATATTTAGGTATCTCTGCCTCTTCTTCTGGTGGAACTTCCTACTTAAACCAGGGAAACCAGATTAAAGAATCGAACAGTTCAACGAGTGGGGGGGGGGGGGAAGTCACAATTGGTTGCAAAACCAAAACTTAAAAGAAGGATGATTGTTCACTGTTTACCACATTCTCTCCAAGTTGAACACTAGTTTGGTAAACTTGAAAAGCTAGAATTGTAAAGCTAATATTTTACTCAGCAGCCTTGAACTGGAACTTAAACAGAACTTATATATTTCCCTCTTTTCCCAAGTTAGAACTACTAAATTATTAACGCACTTTGTCAAATCTTGAAACTCAGAATTGTACAGTTTTCAAGCATTTTTTTTTCTTTTTGTGAACGTCAATCTTAATTGGTAAAATGAAAATATTATCAAAATTATTAATTTTAAAATGTCGTTTTTATTTCGTTCTGGTCTGTACATGCATTGGACTTATTTTTGTCTTTATTCTTTCTTCTATTGTAAACAGTTTTAACTGGCCATTTGCCGAACTTTATCAGACTATATCAGTTTAAACAATTACGAATTACAGCATCATTAATTACATTTCCCTAGGAAAAGAAAGAATAAAGACTAGAATCCTGTACAGTGTTATGGTTACCATTGTAAACTAAATATTATCATGTACACAGTTATCCACAAAAAATGAGACTGTAAAGACGATCTATAATTCTATAAGTATAGCAATCCCAAGCTTCTGTCTAAAATCTATTTAATGATTAGGCAACAAAATAAACAATTTTACAGTTGTGGAAAATTGAAATAATGAAAATAAGGTAAAATACAGTATAAATTCCGTACAGTCGTTTCTAAAATCTCATCTTTTGTGGCTAACCCAGTATCATCGCAAAAAAAAATTTCTATAAAGACTAAAAATGTAGAATTATATCATGAATCTTTAAATTAATGAAGTAAGTACGTCACATACTTTAATTAATTTTTAAAGAACATCTTTTACAAGAATATTAAGAGAGGACAAAAGTAAAATAACAAGAGATTTTTAATTGAACACTTTCTAAATAATTAAAATTGTATTTTTGTTTTTCGTTACAAGTTACAACGGATATTTTCATCAGCAAAAAATAACAGATTTTAAATTGTAGGGAAAAAAATTGCCATAATTTATCCAACTGGGTTGCAGAAGATTGCAAAAAATGGGACAACGAAATAACTTAAAATTAAATAAAGAATGGTTTGGAAACAACTTTTGATAAGATGTTTCTATAAAGAGTCATATAATGTGTAACAAAGGAGTAAAATAATTTTTTCTTTCTCAAGAAAATTTGCTTACAATTAATGTCCTTAAAGCGCAGACATAGAAATTTTTGGGGTCTGTTGAGTTATATTTACTTCTCTTCACAGACACATTCCATAGAAATTTAGAGGCAGAATCTAACCAAGAAGTAGCTACAAGGTTCATTAAGGTTCATTGGAAATAAAGTATTGCTTTTTAGGCATCTAGGGCAAGTTTTACATGTATATCTATACAATTCATACAAACTATAAAACAGAAAAAAGAACTTTCTTTTTTAACCTGGTTTTCTTTATCCTCTGTTTTCTGTTATCATGACATGATAAAATATTTTACTTTACAAGGGTTGATTAAATTATTTACGCACCGCTGGAATTTTTCAATTTTCTGCCAATAAATTAGATATGCGAAAAGAAGGGAATTGTGGCAATATTTTCTCTCTGAGCAAGAATAAACCTGGAGCCGGGGGAGGGAGAGAATAAACCTGGAGCCGGGGGAGGGAGAGAATAAACCTGGAGCCGGGGGAGGGAGAGAATAAACCTGGAGCCGGGGGAGGGAGAGAATAAACCTGGAGCCGGGGGAGGGAGAGAATAAACCTGGAGCCGGGGGAGGGAGAGAATAAACCTGGAGCCGGGGGAGGGAGAGAATAAACCTGTATGCCGGGGGAGGGAGAGAATAAACCTGTATGCCGGGGGAGGGAGAGAATAAACCTGTATGCCGGGGGAGGGAGAGAATAAATCTGTATGCCGGGGGAGGGAGAGAATAAACCTGTATGCCGGGGGAGGGAGAGAAAATAAACTAAAAATGCATCTGTTAGTTTAGTGAACAAGTTATTACCCTGACGCATCAAGCCCATTTAAAGACGTTTTTGTTATTGTTAATTTTATCTGAAGAATATATATATCAAGTTGGTATCTCTGTTTGTCTGTCTATTTGTTTGTCCCATCATAACTCATGAACCTCTCGACCGATTTGCCTCAATTTTTTTCAATGGGGAACTAGGAGACCGATGGGAATGTTCTTAGCTTGGTTTTGAGATTCTAGTTGAGTGGGTGGTCTTTAATAGCGAAAATTGTATTTCCCGATAAAATTATTCGATCAAGTGCGGGTAAACGGCGGGAGTATCTTTTAGTAACCTGGGCAGCGCTGGGTTCTCAAGCTAGTAATACATAATATGAATGCTGCCTTGGAAACCCAGCTTTTCCTGGAAACTAACTTTACTAGTTAAACGTCAATCTAGTCAACTTAAATTTTCAAACTAAGCTAAGAATTTTCCCGTGGTTCCACAGAGTTTCCGATTGAAAATTTGAGAAAAATCTTTTAAGGGGTTTCTGAGTTATGACCGGACACAACAAACAAACAAAGAAAGAGACGCCCAAAAAGATATTACTATTTTTTTAAATGACAGAGCTGAAAAAAATATTCATGTCAAATAAAGGTTTTGCTAATCTTCTTGCATTAATTTGAAAAATTAAAGATTTAAAATCATCATTTGAACTTTTAATAAAGAATTTTAAATTTTGAAAACGTTTCCTGAAACTCTGTTGGATATTAATTATTGTTAAAAAATGTTCAATTAATAATTTGGTGCTGGGTTTCAAAGAATGGAGAACACTAGGTTTTGGCTTCAAACCTTTATATTTCTTCAAACTCTCTCAGAGATTTCAAAAGGTAAGACTTTTTCTAATAATTTATTTAAAAGATGGCTTTTATAATTTCTGTTAAAGTAATTTTTTGCATTGCAGACAACACGTTAGAATTTATTGAGAATTAAACACAAATCTTTCTCACTGTTAGTTAGATAAATCGGTCTGCAGAGTATCTATAGATATCAAAAATGAAGTTTGCATTTCCTTCAGGTTTCAGTGTAAATAATTCTTTGTTTTTGTTTTGTTGTTTAAACAGTTTGTGTTGGTTTAAACTAGAAGTACAGAAAGAAGAATTTATATCTCTAAAATAGCATCTAAATATTGTCCATTAGTTAAACGAAAACATCATTTGGTTCTTCAAAAAATGTCGAAGTTTACAATAGTTTAGTTAGAAATTATGAGACACTAATTTTTCTTTTATGGTTAATCTAAAGGAATTTAATGTTTGGATTTTCTAATCCCTATATCTTTGCAACCTAATGGTGTAAATCATTGATTTACACCATTTTATTATTTGTTCTAACAGAACTCAAAGATTGAAATCACTAAGGTCTACGACATTGGGTTGCAAAGATATATTAGAGTTTATGACAATAACTCATTTCTTTTTTAAAAATTTTTAGAAAACTAATATTTGAAGGGAATCTGTACTTTTCATAAACTTCTTGAAGCACTTGTTAAAAGTTTAAAAGTTGTTTATTCTTTAACGGGTCCGAGTACAGAAACTGTTTAAAAATAGAAACTAACGAGCTAGAAACTTTGTATCAAAGATTTCTACTTTTCAGAAACTTTAAGAGAAAAATAAATGTGCGAAAATGTAATCGTAACGCTTTAGAAAAATCCTTTAAATATTGCAGGAGAAATCTGAAACCATAAGTTTGATTTTTGCTCAGAACTACTCCGATTTTTTCACCTTTTTTATCTATAGTTTCTAACTTATTCTCCCATTATATAGAAAACAGATAAATATTTCCGATAATTTGAATATTTTCCCAAACATGAGTGGGCCAACCCAACCTACAGAATACTAAACCAATATCTACCCCAGCCCATCTGTATTCTATTTTTATCAAAATGGAAACTCTTTTTAAGCAAAATTTGGAATGAAAAATGTCCTTTAATTTTATTTTTCATGCTAAACTTGTCAATGTCGGTAATTTCTATTTGGTTTCTAAGATGAAAGTGCATCTAAGTTTTTTCTGCTTGAACTGCCGCCACGAGATTTGCAAAATACAGAAACAAGTTCAGATATTTAACACTATTATTTTACTGATATTTTTTTAATGGTTTTGTTGAAAAAAAAATTTAATATTTTTTCAGGAAACTGAGCCGAAAACTTTTGTGTTGATCATGGGAATGACTTATATAAATTTCTCTTTGTATAATGTACATGGTGCTGATTTATTTTTGAATTAAATCATGTTTAAAGGAATTAAGTTTTTGCCACAAACTCAATTTTCCTAATCCCTATATGATCTCTCCAACCCAATGTCATAGACCTTAGAGATTTCAAACTGTGAATTCTGTTAGATCAAATAATACAAGTTTGAAATATCAAAGGTTTACACCATTAGGTTGCAGGATAAGAAAAAAGTTTGTGGCAAAAATTTAATTCTTGCAAGAGTGCCGAAAATTCTCATTTTAGTGTGTATAAAAAAAACACGGTTTACTTAAAATCGATCGAAAATTCTTTCTTTTTAAACGAACAAACTTGACATCTGTTAAGTCTATAAGAAGAACATTTTTAATTTTCATGAATGATTTGTTTAGAATCAAATTGATTATTTTACGATCATTGTTAAATAGACGCTACGCTTAATTTTCGGCATGAGTCGTTTTTAACAAATTTCTTCTTAAAGGCGCAGCAGATAGGAGTAAGATTTGTAGCGATCAAAAGCGCTTATTTTTCGCCGTAAGCCTATACCTAGGGATGTTAACGTTTTCATTTTTCAGAAAAACGATCGTTTCGTTATGATAACGACGACGAAAAATAGATCGTTAACATAATTGTCAATAAAAAAAAATTCAAAAACGATCGTGTTTTAAAAACAATCGTTTTTTTAAAAACAATCGTATAAAAAACGATCGTAAATCGGTTTAATAAAAACGATCGTTTTCAAAAACGATCGCTATTCGTTTTCTAAAAGTTCAAAACAAGTGGGTCGTTTTTAAAAAGGATCGTTTTTTTTCTGAAAACGAAACGATCGTTTTTGAAAACGAAACAAAAAACGATCGTTTAACGATCGTTTACAAAAACGATTGACAACCCTACCTATACCCCCTTTCATTTTTCGCGAACACTCCCCTTAATACTTGGAGCAAATATAGCTACCGGTGTCTACTATGTAGGGAAAGGCACACAGTTATCCAAAGGTTACAAGCTCTAACGCTCGAATAGACTTTTACAAATTACAAAAAATAAAGCTAAAAACAAGTAATGTTGGTAGGCCTTGGCCTACCAAAATGTATGAGTGAGTCAGTGTGATAAAATCAGCACTACAAAGTCAACCTAGCCTTCAAAATTTATTGAAATTTTTCTAATTTTTAAAAATTAAAAGTTATGGTTTAATTATTTTAAAATAGATCGAAGGGTAATAATGTGTCTTATCTTTAAAGGAACTGTAGACGTAATTTGAATTGACCTACTATGCACATGTCAGATACACAACAGTACACCTACCTAATTCTCTTAGTAAAAATATTAAAGATATACTTTTTTTCAATTTAAAAATTGATAGTTTTCAATTGTGCCCTATAACAGGTTTGTAATGAAGGATGGAGGGAGCTCTCAATGTTTTCCTTATTCCTCCTCTTTACAAGCACTTGATTAAATATAATACTTGGAATAGAACAAGCCTAGTTGCCAGGCAGCGTTGGTTCATGAATATAAATAGATAGTTATTATACTATAAATATATTAAATCAAGGAAACTTTAAATAGTAAGCTCTACAAAACATTCACCATGAATCATTATTAATCAATCAGTCCATGATCTCAAAAAAATAAAGTGCATTTTAAATTAAGTTACTTGTATAACTTTGCGACCTTGTAAAACCTCCTGAGTTTAAATGCCCTTTCAATTGCCTATTCTCAACAAAATGATAAATTTGATTTCGAGTCTGTTTTACTCATTATTCCCACTGTGCTAAAATGTAAAATGTACATGTAAAGGACTGCAGAAGGGCATTTGCGAGTTAGAGCCGTAGGCGTTGCGACACTTCAAAGTCGATTCCGTAAATTTTCGACTGAAACATTGTAAACGGAGTTCTACTCGTATTAAATCAAAAAGTGACATGAGAAATATTAACTGCGGTTTTGATGCGTAAAAACAGAAGAAAAAAAAAGTTTTTTTATGCATTTTCTCACCCCTCTTTTTGAGTCAAATTAAAGCACCGTAATGCAGTGTTCGATTTCGTGCACTTCTAAATACTTGAGCTGTGAGATATTTTCATATTGGTTCTGCCCTGTGAGGAACGTGTGGCATGCAATATAATGATTATAATATACTTTATAACAATCCTATTAATAAGTTGCTGCTAATTATATGGGAATTTATCACTAGTTAACCTATTCCAACCATTCATTTGCGCCTAGCAACCATCCTCTACCCCATATCATCCTTTATATTCCCCTTAGCCCTCCTCCATACCCCCTGGCATCATTTATATCCCCTTAACCCCCCTCCCCTCCCCCCCCCACCGCCTAACACGCAATTTTTTATTCTATTTTTTACCTTACCCGGATTTAAATTGGGTTTGAGGGGGGGGGGGGGGTTGCAGAGCCCTGTCTACTCAGGGTTTAACAGAATGGTGGAAAAGTTTTCAAAGTATAATCTACAGTCGGATGGGTTTCTCCAAGACTCCAGGTGTATAGTAAAACTAACTTTCTCTGAACCAGGAAATTCTTTAACTCTACACAAACAAAAATGAATGGGGTGTTCACTAAGCATGAAACATTGTAAGAATTTAACCAACATATTAAATATATAAATAAAAATAACCATCTGTCAAACAAAGATTAACAAATTACCCTGATACAAGATTCAAGAAGTAGCCTTAACATAAGCTTTAATGAAGCAAAATTATTAAAACGTCAGTCCAGATCAAATAATTGTCCTTTAGGAAAGATCTAAGGAATGATCCATGTCACCTCTAAAAAGACAGTGTTATGTTTAATGTTTTAGAAAATATGATTTTCTGAAAATCCTTTTTCAACAAAATATATAAATTGAGTAAAACTGAGTCATAAAATAGCACGGAATATGAGTCTTTACATTTAAAAAAAAATATATTATAATATTGTTACTGCACTGTTTACTAGCATGTATATACTGCAGATTGAACAACCCAATATCAGGTTTGTTGAGTCAACTCTGGAAATGACACTGTATTAGAAGTTCAGAATAAACATAAATTGTAAAATATACAAATATATATACATATATAAATATATTATATATTTTATACATCTTATATATCTAAAACAATATACATATATATAGTTTGGTAACAAATAACTGCTATTAGAATTCTTTTTAATGTACGCATAGGTACTTGATTGAAAGTATTTCACAATGTTTACATGTAAAAACTATGTTAGCTAACTTTGATCGACAAATAGAGCACTTAGGGAGCGACCGGCAATGTATGGTAGTTGGACTGAGAATGTAGTATTGCGGAGAATTTTTTTAGGATTCTTTAGAGACATATAAAACGTATTAATGATGTATAATTACTGAGGTTGAGCGCTAAGTAAACGTTCAAAATCATCCATTTTGGGTGGTTACGTTTTGATAATCGACGGCAAAAAATATTCTACAGTAAACTAATTATATGCTTAGGAACATATTTCTCAACTCAATAAATCAATGTTATAATCAATCATTTCTTTTTCATCATTATATTGAATTTCTTATTCTTTATGAATTTGTTTGCAGATTTCTTCAAATTCTTCAAATGTCACCTTTTCAATAAAAATGCCAGGAAATCTACAGAAATGGTTGTGAACAATGAGAGTCATTACAGAAACCAATAACTGAATAAGATTACTTCTTTTCGAAAATAAGAGTTAATTTTTATTTTCTAAATCTGTTCCTAACCAACTATCTAGTTTAATGTAAAATGTTAACTACATATTTTGTCTTCGTTATTGAATATTTTTTTTAAAAAACCGATTCTCATTATCATCCCTAAAAAATTAACAATCTATGAGAATTTTAAAGATTGAATTTTCGCTCTTTCTGAACAAATAAGCATTGTAAAAACGTTTCATAGGTCTCGAATATTTCTCTACAATATTACATTCTCATTAAAACTACCACACATTGCCGGTCACTCCCTTTAAAAACAAAACCTTAAGGCTGTTTCAATTTATAACAGTGTAGAATTTCTGTAGGTTCTGCATATTCTTGTTTTCCTCCATTTTATGATTTTAATATTTAGTTTGGTGCAGTCTAAGTGGAGGAGAGGGAGAAGAGCAAGCTCTACCAGGACTTGGAGCTCCGTACTTTCAGGTTAGCAATGTTTTAGAACAATCAACGTAATGAATTATGGATTGGAAAATATAAGTTTGTGGCAAAGACTCCTTTACTCTGTGTACTTTTGGATCTCTTAGTACACAGGTTTGACGTCTAGTTATGTAGGTTCGTGCACGTGATTACTATTTATTTGTTTGTTTTTAGGACTATGAGTCGGGCTCTACCATTAATGTTACAACACAACTAGGAAAATATTTATTCAAATCTATTCTAAGGGATAAAGAAATTTAACAAGTATTATAATAACTAAAAATTATCACCTTGCGAAGGAAAACAAACTTAAGGAACTTCAACCACATTTAAGGAACTTCAACCCCATTTAAGAAACTTCAACCCCATTTAAGGAACTTCAAACCCATTTAAGGAACTTCAACCACATTTAAGGAACTTCAACCCCATTTAAGGAACTTCAACCCCATTTAAGGAACTTCAACCCCATTTAAGGAACTTCAACCACATTTCTCTTTTTGGTCAACAAATTTTTCGAAGTTTTTAATTTCTACATCAATTGCAAAAACCTTTTTAAATTTGTATAATGCATACGTCTTAAATATTCACATCAAAGTCTTGCTTTATTTTATTTGTATGGATAATTTAAATATTGTAGGATCTGCAACCTACCTGCACTGTAAAGTGAACAGACTGGGAGGAAAGACGGTAAGGATATAAACCTTAATAAATCTTCAAGACTCAAGATTAAACAGCCTAGAGTCATTCTTTTACCAACCCAGAGGAATTCAATCAAGAATTCTAGAGTGGGGAAAAGTACCTGGAGGAAACCCTATTCCTAGGAGCCACGGACAGGCACGGAAAAGGGGATCTTATACATATGGTACCAATAAAACTGTGGAATAACAATACGACATTTAAGCAATATCATACAGTTTGTGTTGTAACTTGAAAATAAATTTATAAAGTAAAATGGGGTTGTGTACACTGCACAAATGTTAAAAACTATGTTTATGTTTACAATTGTATGGGTCCCAACATGTAGTAAAGAGAAGTGGGCTTAATTCTAGAAGGGGATATTTAAAAAGTTAAAAATCAAATCTTTTATTTTAGAAAAAAAACTATTTTTTTATATGTACATTGTACAAAATCTTTTGCTGTATGTGCCCGACTTTTTACAGATTGGTTTGGATGGTTTTACATAATTATTATACATAGATTTGATTGACTAGCTGAGAAATAGACTGACAAATTAGTTCTTTGTTTCAAATCCTCCTCAGAAATTTTGGACAAATTTTCTTAAAGTAACTGTGTATTGTGTAATGCGTATATAATGCGTATGTAATGCTACCGGACCCGATTCTCAAAAGTTCCGCAACTTTTATTTTACATTATTTTTGCACAGTTTGCGAAAATCCGAGGAGGAGGGGGGGGGGGGTATATAAATTGCACCCCCAAGATCACATCCCCAAATGAGTGTATAGGATCTGGTACCTATTTTTTCTGCCGAGGGAATGCAGGGGGTAATGTACCAATATGAAAACGTCATATTTATCGATTTGTCTGACTTACTTTTTGCATTGTTTAAAATATGCCTAACCATGAAAAATTAGAATTATGCATAGTTTGATTAAGAGACGGGGGGAGGGGGGGGGATGAGACAACATCTTAATCTTAACATTCTTTATAGGATGAAAGGACAGCCTGCATAGTGAACTACAAACATGCGTTGCTTTATATTGAGAGTCATTTAGTATTACTAAATAGATCAAATTCTTTCATTATACATTTATTACAGTAAAGAAATTTTTTGTGCAAATAATTGTTGCAGCTTGTAGCTACATAACTTTTTCGCGAAGTTAGTTTTCACGAAACTGTACATTGGTCTTGTACTTTTTCGCGTAATTCATAATTGCAAAAGATTTTTGCGAAAGTTTCCGTTCGCTGCTGGAAATCCAAATTGTGTTCCGATAAGAAATTAAGTGAACAGTCTCTTTAAAGATAGAGATTTTGAATTATTTTTAGTCAAATTTTATATTCTCGAGATTACTCTAATCCTTGCAAAGTAGTAAGATTTCTCTTTGAATAGAGTAGAAATCAAAGAATTCTCAATATTTAATATTTTACTTCAAAATCAGGTTTTCTGAAAGCATATCTTGATATTTGGATGTCTAAACTTTTATGTAATGACGAGACTTCCTCGAAATGTAAATGTAATACGTAGATGCATCAAGTACGCACGTCCTTACCCATTAATAAATAATTACGTTATAAGTGAACATTTTTATAACCTCTAAATTAACTAAAATATTAAATTACCCTCAGAATCTAACTATAGTTTAAATAAGGAAACAAGACGATACATTTCTCATAGTTACTCAGGCAGAGGTTTAAAAGTACTGTCATTAATTGGACATATCATTTTATAATTGGAGATGGAATTTAAGAATGTTTATTGTCTGGTTAGGTGTTATGATAATACCACCAATATAAACATCTTTTTCCTTTAGATGAACAGTGTATTGCCAAATTGTTTTGTAAACATTTATTAGTAAAAATAAAAACAACTTTGTAGATCTTTTACTCACAATCGTTAATTGCACAAAGCAGAGGTCAGAACTGTTGTTCGAGTATCGTTAATCTTGAAGCGTAATGACACTCTATGCAAAGATGGCAATGCCCGATTTACAACGATACCCTTTGATTTGAGTCTTTGTAACAAACTCTGATTTTCTGATCACATATATCTTTCAAAGAATCTAAGTTTAAAATAGCAAATGTTTACACTATCAGGCTGCAAAGATGTAAGAAATAGAAAATTTAGGTTTGTGTCCAGGACTTAATTCCTTTTTCATAAATGTGTTATTTTTATGAATTCCTCTATGCTTCATAAAAAAGTGCAAGTCACTTTCCCACAGAGAAACCGCAAATGAAAATGAAACAAAAACATTGATATCTAAAACATACTTGATCAGACAAAGCTTTCAAGGGTACCGTTGTAAATCTGGCATTGTAATCTTTGGATGGAGGGTCACTTGAAATTACGCTTACAGTCCTTGTAAGCTTATTTTCCTGTTTAATATGATAAAAGATGAATAAATCATTCAAATAATAAATTCTATTAACAGTAAACACGCAATAATAGGACTAAATATACCAGGAAAACGGACAAAATATTAGAAAAAATATAAATTTTGTTGTTTCTGAGAAACATCAAATAGTATATATAATTTAAAGAAAAACGGGATTGATTAAGTAAACAACATTTTAATCAGCTTTTTTACCAAAGCTACAGTGATAACCTGAAAACTCTGGAATAAACTTTAAAACTCAAGTTATGAATTTAAATAGTCCAATTTATAGTCCATTGAGCATGATACATAGCAATTGTGCATTGTAAACAGGCATATTTAACTTTAGAAGTGATTTAATAGGTTTGTAGCATTATCAAATTCATTTCAGTATAAATTTGATGTCGTCTTCCTATTTAACATCTTTCTGGTTATCACTGTATATTATTTTACGTTTTTTTTTCATTGGAATGTCAAATAAAATTGGTCACTTTTCTGTTTCTTTTTGGAGTAAGTAGAAACCCTGTACATCAAATCAGATCAAAAAGCATTATTATTCTATTCTAACCATATTTGAAATTTGCTGTTGCTAATGGACCAAACCTCATAGAGTTAATAAAGTAGATATTAGTTCCACATTTTATTTTACAGTTCTAACGATATAATAACCATCAAAATCAACAATAAAAAATGTTTAAAAACCAAAAGAAAATAAAAAAAAAACATAAAAAAGGTTGCCAACCATGTAGTTATTTTTATAACGGGATGAAAATGTTGAAAATATTTTATTTCATTTTGATATAAGAAGCTATTCAGCATAGATAAATTAAGATATCAGATAGCACACTAGATGTCGTCTTTTCAAGATTTGCATACATCTCGTTCACAATAACCCTGAGACAGAAGCCCAGAGGAGTTTCGCGCAGTCGGCGTAAAATTACAAGACAGAGAGAGTCTGATCTACGCCAATTGTGCGAAACTCCTCTTGACTTCTCCCTTAGAACGAGTTTCATCCAAATCTTGAAAAGACGACATCTAGTGGTATCTTATCTGTTATTTTAATCTTTGCTATACAAATTTAAGTTATTAATCCCCTTAATTTTACATTTAAAATAATACTAATGTGATATTGTATCCTGAAATGAAATTCGAAGTTAATTTCCTTTTGCAATAAAATACCGTTTTTCCCCTGGGATTTCAACACTTGAAGCATCTCCACCATGGTTATTTAACTTACTTTTTGCTTTCTCTTCACATAACTTTAAAATCTACGCATTCCCATCAGCTAACGATAATAGTTTTTAGTCCATTATCTATATAAAGTTCTAATCTCCTTTTGTCTGTCTGTTTGTTTGTCCGATCATAACTAAGAAACACCTGGACGGAATTGCTTTAAATTTTGATTGGGAGACCGACGGGAATTTGAGTGGGTCGACTTTAATGGCGAAAATTTAGTTTCCCGGTAAAATCGCTCAAGTGGTAAACGACTGGGTTCCCAAGCTAGTATTTTATATATTAATATATTTATGATATATATTTATAGAGGTTTTACTTCATAAATCTTTGGAATGTTAAACAAGACAACTTTTGCAATGTAAAAAATATTATTCGACCATATGACATGATGCAACAAGATACAGGGTGTCCCACGAAACATGAGAGTTGATGAAATGTTATACATGTCTTCTTCCACAGTTTGTTAAGTTGTTTGAACCACAAGAGAATAATATAAAATTTTTCATGGCAGCCATACTTTAGTAAAATTGACTTCAAAGTAAACCATATTAGAGTAAAAGATTTTTAAAAATAAATAAACTGCAAAAAGTCTATAATATCTAATACGTATATAGAAGATGACATTCAAAACTATTCACCAATTGTCATGTTTCGTGGGACACCCTGTAGCTCTACAAGTAGACACCCTTTAATTCCAATACAAAAATGATTCTATGAATCTAGTTTCGCAATCTATTTTAAACACATTTTTTTTCTGTGTAGGTATCCTGGATGCGCCGATCCACACGCGAAGACGACAATCCATATCTTCTGACCTACGGTCGTCTGATCTACTCTAGTGATGCTCGCTACCAGATATTTCATGAGGCTGGTCATGATTGGAAGTTACAGATACAGTTTACAAGACTCAGTGATGAAGGATTGTATGAATGCCGGGTTTCTTCCAAAACTGCGCTTGTTCAATACACATACTTGAAGGTTGTAGGTGAGTAACAAGGATAAGATACAGAAAATATAAAGGGTTACCCTCACAGGATGAGACTGTAAAAACGACATGAAACTCTTAAAATCTGACAAAACAAGGTTAAATTAGTTTTCTGGCTTAAATATAAACTTTTTATGATTTGTTTAATGTTTTATCAAAGTTAAAAACAAGTTTACAGTTGCAGGGAGTTAAAGTTCCGGCCCTTTAGTCGTCTCTGAAGTGTCATCCTTTGTGGGTAACACTAGAGTGTCCCATATCATATAAGATTTTCTCAAAGCTTTAACGCAAAAATAAACACATCTGCAAGAACATTTGTATTCAATTTTTCAAAATGATTCATTCTTCTTAAATTTTCTGATCAGTCCTGAAATCATAATTTCGACCCATTGACGATCTAATATGATATGGTACACCCTATACATAGTAAAGGTATAGGTTTGTGTACATTTTACTAAAATGTATTTAAACTGCTGAGATTTAAAAGATTAAGGTAAACAAGCAGTAGTTAGTAAACAACTCCAGCCTTTCTATTCTGCCCTGGACAGTTCCAACCTTTGTATACAATCTTCCTTTATACCAATCTGCAATTACGTCACAACAAAGTGAACACTACCCCCATAGATTAATAACAACACAGATAAAACAATGATTTTCAAGATTTTGGGGTTTTTCGTTCACAATAACCTTGAGTCAGAAGCCCGGAGAGCGTAGAACACGCTCTCTCTCTCTGTCTCTGTCTTGTAATTCAACCCAGCATATGCGCGTAACTCCTTTTACTTCAGTCTCAGGGTCACTGTGAACGAAAAACCCCTAAATCTTAAAAAGACGACATCTAGTGTTCTATCTGTGTTGTTATTAATCTATGACAGACCCTATCCCCCTTACTTTTAGCATTCATATTCATTCACGTTTAACCTGTTACTTGGTATTTTCGAGATCATAATATTGAAAAAATAGACTTCGCCTCCATAAACTAAGTTTTATTACATCTTGTGGGAATATAAACAGAGCCTTTAAACTATAAAGCTGTTTTGACGGTTCCAAACTTCTAAAACATCAAAACCCCAGCTAAATATATAATCACATTCCTTTAAACCTGGAGCAAAGTTTCAAGTTTGTATTCCCATGTATCAGTGTGAATATATATATATATATATACATTGCTGAACCCGTTACTTTCTGACAGGCTTACACATCTTAAACTTCAAATTTGGAGCTGGCTCGTAAACTCCGGGGCTGGGGGGGAAATGTTAAAAAAATAACAACAAAAAGTAATGCCCTTGAATAACTGTAATAATTTAACTATTTTTTCAACCTTATTTCGTAGACCGGTGGTACAGGGTGTCCCAAAAAACATGGGAATTCAGTGACGAATTCGATATCGTCTTTGTTATGAATTAGCATTGTAATACCTAATTTCAAAAGAAATAATATTATTATGTCTGCTAGAGTTTATTTTATGAAAACGGTAAAAGACTGTAAAGATGTGTCTATAATGTCTCCGCAAGATCAACAGTGAAGACGGACAAGTTTACTCTGTTTGTATACTGCAATTTTCTTGTTTTACTAATTACAACCGTATGCAGTCTAAACATAAACAAACAAATTGTAAACATAGCAGACGAAACTCTTACAGATTACAGCTTTCTCATTAGGTATCACTATACTAAATCAAAGAATTATTTAAAAAGACGATATCGAATTCGTCACTGAATTCCCATGTTTTTTGGGACACCCTGTATGTAAAATATAGCTATTCTACAAAATTCAATAGTCAAAGATTTAAATAATTAAAATTTACATCATCAGTTTGCAAAATTATGGAACAGATAGTTTGAGTCCAGTTTTAAGTTCCTTTGATTATACTTTTTGTATAGTTAAGAACCGTTTATCCTTTAAACAGTTAATATTTCACTATTTATAATAACTGTCAAGGAAAATCCCATCTTCTTCATCATTTTACTAATCCTAGAATTTCTATAGGAAGGAGATGGGGGGGAGATATTTAAACATATTTGGTATTACTGCTTCACAAAACTTGCTGGATTAAAGGGACTGTAGGTGTAATTTCAAGCAAGCCTCCATTTGTAGATTGGCGTGTCTTTAACCTTTAAACCATTGACTGATGAATGACGTATCCATGATGTATCTACAGAAACGTAATGTAAAGTCTGCTGTGTGTAGGTCATACTCCCCTATTACGGCGCTTAGAACACTTTTTCAGAGATAAACCCACTAAGTAATCTAGCCTCAATAAATGATGATCAGTCAAAGAAGAGTGCGATATTTTGTATTACATTCCATTCACTTTGACTTTACTCATGCCAACATTGTCGATGTTTGGTTTTGAATGCTAAACTCGTGGATTTTTTATTGAAATATAAGATGTTTGGAAATATTTGTCATTGGTGCTTTTTCCCTCATGAGTTTATTTTTATCCCTATCTATCCTGTTAGACCAGAGGAGAGATGAGAGAAGAAGAAACCCTAATTAAACGTCAATTTGTGAAGAATTAACTTGGATTGGACCTTAATCTAATATTGCGACTTTCTAAACTCAGACAGGGTGTTAAATCCATTACAGTTGCAGATCTTACTGATTTTTAAACTTGCGTTCAGAGATTAGTTAGTAGAAGTTACTAGTCAGTTATAGGATAAGAAAAGACATTGGTTTGTCCGTGCTAAGATAGGAAGGTAGATTGGTTAGTCAGTGCTAGGATAGCTAGGGAGATTTGGTATCCAGTTCCCGGATTGGAAGGTAGATTGGTTAGTCATTACTGAGAATGGCGTGGAGATAGGTTAGTCATTGCTTAATTATGAAGAAAAATTGGTTAGTCAGTGCTAGGATAGGAAGAGAGATTAGTTATAATTTAGTGCTTGGTTAGTCATATCAAGATAAAGAGGGAGATCTGTTAGTCAGTGCTTGGATAGGAAGAGAGATTAGTTATAATTTAGTGCTTGGTTAGTCATATCAGGATAAAGAGGGAGATCGGTTTGTCAGTGCTTGGATAGGAAGAGAGATTAGTTATAATTTAGTGCTTGGTTAGTCATACCAGGATAGAGAGGGAGATCGGTTAGTCAGTGCTTGGATAGAAAGAAAGATTAGTTATAATTTAGTGCTTGGTTAGTCATATCAGGATAAAGAGGGAGATCTGTTAGTTAGTGCTTGGATAGGAAGAGAGATTAGTTATAATTTAGTGCTTGGTTAATGAGATCAGGATAGAGAGGGAGATCGGTTAGTCATTGCTTGGATAGGGAGAGAGATTGGTTAGTTGGAGTTTAATAGGAAGGACGGTTATTCAGATCAAGATAGGAAGGGAGATTGGTTAGTTAGATCAATATAAAATGGATATTGGTTAGTTTGATTAAGATAGGAATGGAGATCGGTAAGCCAAATCAGGATATGAAGGGAGATTGGTCAGTCATTGCTTGGATAGGGAGGGAGATCGGCTATTCGGAATAGGTATCGGAAGTGAGATTGGTTAGTCAGTGCTTGGATAGGAGGGAAAATTGGTAAGTCATTGCTTTTGATAGGAAGGAATATTGACTAGTCATTGCTAGAATAGGAAGTGAGATTAAGTGGTCGTTGCTAGGCAGTCATTGCTAGGATAGGAATGGAGATTGGTTAGTCATTGAATGGATAATTAAGTAGTCATTGCTAGGAAAGGAAGGGAGATTGATAAGTCATTGCTTGGATAGGGAGGAGATTGATAAGTCATACTAGGATAGGCAGGGAGATTGGTTAGTCAGTGCTTGGATAGGAAGGGAGATTGGTTAGTCATTGCTAGGATAGAAACACGATAAAAAGAAAGATTGGGTAGTCAACATTATAAAATATTTGGAGTGCTTAGAATCTAAAGGAGAAGAAAATTGGGTTAATCTGAAAATGAAAAACGTATGCAGTTGGAAGATGAAAATATCGTGAATAAATGATAGGGAAAGATTTGAATTTATATTTGTACAATAATACTATAAATATGCAGTTTCCCACTCTATCGTAGAATTTAAAGTCAATAAATCTAAACAAAGAGAACCTATAGATATAACTCTTATAGTCGACCCATAAATCTTTATTTAACATCCTGTTTGTTCTTCATCATTAATTCATTCAGTTATCCTGCCTTTCATGTTCGTTTTAAACTGTGTAAATTCCCCTATTTTTCAAAAGTATTTTCAAAAAATCCCCCCCCCCCCGGAGTGGATTTGTTTCTAGATCTATTAAAAAATAAAAGAATAGAAGACAGGCTTTACATAATAAATTCTAAGGAATTGAATCTTTGCCTCAATCTCACATTTTCTAATTTCTACATATTTGTAAACCTTTGATATGTTAAACCTAGATTATTAAATCTAATAGAAATCATGGTTTGAAATATCAAAATTCCACGGCATCGGTTTGCAAAGATAATCGGATTAGAGAGTTTGTGGCAAAGACTAAATTCCTTTGCAAGCAAACTTCACATCTATAAAACAAGTCACCTACTTTGAAAAATTAAAGTCTACATAAAATCCTGTTTTAGTGCCTGAAATCAAGATAATGGATGAAAGGAACTCAATGGTGAAGGATCAGATTATCTACGAGGGAGGATCCACCATAGAGCTCAAGTGTGTGGTGACCAACCTGGTGGGAGAGCAGCCGGAGTACATCATCTGGAAGAAGGAGGACAGGATGCTCAACTACGACCTGGAGAGGGGAGGGATCAGGTAGATAAACATACTCAACTACACACTGGAGAGGGATGGATCAGGTAGATTAACATACTTAACTACACCCTGGAGAGGGGAGGGATCAGGTAGATAAACATACTCAATTGCACCCTGGAGAGGAGAGGGATGAGCTGGAGAGGGGAGGGATCAGGTAGATAAACATACTCAATTGCACCCTGGAGAGGAGAGGGATGAGGTAGACTAGATAAACATACTCAACTGCACCCTGGAGAGGGGAGGGATCAGGTAGATAAACAAACTCAACTACAACCTGGAGAGGGAGGGTTCAAGTAGATAGACATACTTAACTACAACCTGGAGAGGGAGGGTTCAAGTAGATAAACATACTTAACTTGTTTCTAGGTCCGATGAGCTTATAGAACTTTAAAGTGTTAAAGAACAATCAATAGTTATGTACAGTACAACAGAAATATAAAACGTAATAAATATATAAATATAATGTCGAGTATAGTATTTCAATAGTTATTCCTCTTTGAAAACGGGTGAATTTATCTTTAATGCACGAAGAAAAATGAATTTTGTTTTGTACATTAGGACTGAAATATCGTCGATGTAACGAAATTTATCTCTATAAATATAATAAAATTAACATTTGGCAATCAATATTTACAAACAAGTGAACCATGCTGCTGACGTGAAAACCCTTCATCAACAGATTTACCTTCTAAACATACAAAACCAGAGAAATGTTTTAGCAAATGCAATTTCATTTTCTTGGAAAGATTTTTGTTTATTTCTAAAGTACATTGTATTTCCACCGACCAAAATCGGACTTCTTCACTGGTATCTCTGATTTAAAAAGGCAGTTTATTTCTGATTTATTTCTCTAACAAGAAAGTTTACCGTATGTACTGTTCAAGGTAGTTCAAATAAATTTATAAAATCGTACTATTTATAGCAATATTATTTTGTGTATAAAGTTTTGGAAGAAAATTTTCTTCTTATCGAGAACTTTCGAGATACAGAAAATAAATTACACAATAGTTTCATAAAATTACTTATAATAACAACATTTTTTGGACTTTAAGGAAATAAGTTTTTTCCATAAACTCTGATCTCTGCAGCCCAATGTACAAGACCTTTTCAAACTTTGAATTATGTTAGACCTAATAATCTAAGTTTGAAATATCAAAGGGTTACACCATCATGTTGCAAAGAAATAGGGATTGGAAAATTTGAGTTTGTAGCGAAAATTCAGTTATTTTTTTCTGTATCTCAAACTTTGTGAGTACGAAGAAATATAACCGGTTTAATTATGTCTGGTTTGTATGTTGATGTATAAACATTGTATTTACGTAGATTGTATGCATAGTGTATAGAAGACTGTGTTCAATATTAATGGATTAGAAGGTTTATTTATTGGTTATCCAGGCTTTGTATAGACACGGGAATATCAGACAAAGCTTTTAAAAATAACCTTTAATCCCTTTATATTTATATACTATACATATATACCAACCAACCCAGCCTGTATTCATTCATTCAAAATTGTTTAGAGAAATTCAAGTTATAAATCTTATCAATTAAAAGAAAAAAATTACTTTTTACTATTTTTTATCTGGAAACAAAATTAAACATCCATTATGTCTGTTCCAAGTTTAAATGAAACTTTGAAGTTTATGAATACTAAATATTCAAAAATATGTTTTAAAAACAATTTTTCAAAGAGAGAAATAAGAACCTATTTTTTATTATCAATTTGAATCCCAAAACCGTAATTATTTTGTTTTTGGACACCCTGTATACATCTCTAGTCATCTATGACTAGAACTGATGATATGATAATCTATTCATATCCACTCTCTTAGCTCAGCAGAGATATAAGTCCTCTATCCATGTTTCTCCGCCCCCCATCAAACCAACACATTTGGTATTATTGGCTCTAGATCTAGGTTCGGAATTATCCCCCTCTCTCCCCCTCCTCCTCATCTTCCCAACCTATCCATGCATAATAGCCAATAATTTAATATATAACCTATTTGAATATCATCTGAAAGAAATTTTCAACACATCTTTTCATTAAAAGATTCCCATAAACGATTAAAGATGAAAAAGATATCTTTGTTGCGTCACATCATTGACATTTTCTACCATGATCTTACTAAAAGATAAAAATGGCGGAAATGTATGTTATTTTAATTAGAAAATACATACCCAACATTATACACAACAGCATATACTAGAAATAGGTCTTAATCTTATAATTGTTTAATCATGGTTCCTGGAAATGTATGTTATTTTAATTAGAAAATATATACCCAACATTATACACAACAGCATATACTAGAAATAGGTCTTAATCTTATAATTGATTAATCATGGTTCCTGGAAATGAATGTTATTTTAGTTAGAAAATATATACCCAACATTATACACAACATCATATACCAGAAATAGGTCATAATCTTATAATTTTTTAATCATGGTTCCTGGAAATTAATGTTATTTTAGTTAGAACATATATAGCCAACATTATACACAACATCATATACCAGAAATAGGTCTAAATCTTATAATTGTTTAATCATGGTTCCTGGAAATAAATGTTATTTTAATTAGAAAATATATACCTAACATTATACACAACATCATATACCAGAAATAGGTCTTAATGTTATAATCGTTTATGGTATTTCTGGAAATGTATGTTATTTTATTTAGAAAATATATACCTAACAATATACACGACATCATATACCAGAAATAGGTCTTAATCTTATAATCGTTTATGGTATTTCTGGAAATGTATGTTATTTTAGATAGAAATTGTATACCTAACATTATACACAACATCATATACCAGAAATAGGTCTTAATCTTATAATTGTTTATGGTATTTCTGGAAATGTATGTTATTTTAATTAGAAAATATATACCTAACAATATACACGACATCATATACCAGAAATAGGTCTTAATCTTATAATTGTTTATGGTATTTCTGGAAATGGATTAATGCAATTTTATCATAAGAAAGCTAAATTTTTTTTCTCAAAAGAATTCCAAATGACGTTTAAATGATCTACCATTAGAACTTAGAAGCAAATTAAAGTTTTCAAATAGTCCAAAGGAATTGAGTTTTCGCCATAAACTCAAATTTTCTAATCCCTATATCTTTGAAATCAGATGATGTAACCCAATGTTATTTCAAACTTAAACTAATTGATCTAACATAATTCATATTTTTAAATATCAAAGGTCTACGACATAGGGTTGCTAAGATATAGGGGGAAACAGTTAGAGTTTGTGGCAAAAACTCATTTCATTTACAATTTTAACCGCAGAATGGAGCCCTTTAATTTTCATTCTTGTTTCAATAAGTTTAAACCTGCAGTATTCACTTACTGTCAATGTTAAATTATTTTGGAACATTGCCTGGCTAAAATTTCAAAAGTTTTTAATTGGAAATATTTTGCATGAGGAAGTTGCTAAACAGAAGTTTAGTTGTAGAGCTGGGCAAATAATAATGAAAGAAAGTCCTTGTCAAATGAAAAAGGGAATTTAATGAAAATTTGATTTTTTAGAAGGTTTGTTTTGTAAAAAAGGAGTTTTCAAGCAATATTTTTGGTCGACTATAGAGACAAATACAAAGGAACTTACTACTTGCCCGAAACTCAAGTTTCTAATATTTTTTGATATTTCACAGTAAGAGTTTGAGATAAGTTATCAGTCCCTTTTCAATTATTAATTTTGAACGTTGTTTATTGAAAATGTAAATTAGGAAAGGTTTTATTCAGATTTGTATTAAAACTTTTCCAATTTGGTTCCACAACAATACACTTTGCCGCGGACTATTTTCTAATTTTATTGATGGGTCGGATAATTACAACTTTTAATATGAAAATGACAACTCTAGAAGCAGACCTTAAATCTGAATTTATAACTTCCTGGAAAGAATATTATTTATGCTAAGTACAGAACGTATGGTTTTTATTAATACGCTGTTTGTGAACAATCAAATTATATAGTTCATACTCAAGTATGCAGAGGGAGAAGGTCCAATTAGTGCGGCGATATTACTGGTACAAATTTGTGACCTCGTAGCTCCTATAGTTTTATGAAAAATGCAAAGGAATTGAGTTTTAGTCACAAACTCTGATTTTCTTATCCCTATACCTTTGCATTTCAATGTCGGAGACCTTAGATATTTCAAACTAACTATGAATCATTTTAGTTCAAATAATAATAGTTTTAAATATCAAAGGCTAACACCGTCAGGTTGCAAAGATGTAGCGATTTGAAAATCAGAATTTGTGGCTAAAACTCACTTCCTTTATTATAATAAAGTTCTTCGCTCTTATATATGTGTATATATATATTTATATGTTAGCCATAGATATGGCTAAACGGCTTGACCAAATTGGATGAAATTTGTTAAGGTGAAATAGGCAAAAAAATTATTAATAATAAAAAAATGTTGTTCCACGGGCAAAGCTGGGCATTTCAACTTTTTTTTATTGCTTTTCAATAAATGATTGAAAACATATACAATACTAGCCTTACAGGGCGCTTGCGCCCATCTTCTAAATTAATTGTGAACATGTTCTCTTTGTGCATATCGTAAAACAAAACAAAAATAATTTGCGGATTTTCACAAATAATTTCGTGGATTTTCAAAAATTTTTAAAAATTTAATGAAGATTGAATTTTGATGGAGAAAAATATTTGAAATTTAGATCATTCATAAACCTTCCCTGTGGTCACGTGATGTCGGACAAAAAATTTGAGCCCGATCGGTTTAGCCGTTTTGACGTTTATTGGATACAAACAATATACATATAATATTTTAATCTAACATAAAGTTTACTTTAATATATTTGACGTGAGTTTGTCCAAACATATCCAGGGATTAAAGGAATTGAGTCTTTCCCTCAAAGTCTAATTTTCTAATCCCTATATCTTTGCAACCTGATGGTGTAAATATTTGATATTTAAAACCATATTATTTGGTACAGCAGAATTCATAGTTTGAAATAACAAAGGTCTGCAAAGATATAGGTATTAGTAAATCAGAATGTGTGACAAAAACTCATTACATTTAAATAGATTTTCAAAATTGCGACCGTTTTTTATGTTAACATACAGGATCTATTTCGATGGATCCAATGAATTGGGGTTTCCTTCAATGTCTATGAAAGGAACTGAATTATTGCCACAAACTCTGATTTTTCCATAGGTATTACCAAACATGAATTCTTATACTTTAACCAGTATACAATTTCAATGATATACACTATCAGGTTGCATAGATAAAGGGATTAGAGAATTTAAGTTTGTGGAAAGAACTCCGTTGCTTAGAAAATACGTTTAAATTAAATTCTGCATCAAAGTTCAAATGAATACTCGATGTCCAATAAAGCATTATAATTAAACATGAACAACATAAATGTATGAAATATCGGTTAATAATCAAATTAATCAATTTTCCCCCTGCTCCTGTACTTTGTAGATACACATATAAAGAGTACACAGATCTGATATTTACGTCTTCTAAGTTTGGAACGTTTATTTTGAAAATAATAAACTGTGAGAAGAGAATAATGTTTATAAAACTACTTTTTGTACTAAAGAATAAAGATAATTATACCCTTTTAGATAAAGTGTTAACATTAATCTACAGTCTTCAGAACTTTCTTCTAATGACTTTTCAGTTTTACAGACTTTGCACTGATCTTTTTATTACACAACATTACTACCTCTAAGTACCACCTATTTTTTATGAAAATGCTTAAATAAAGAATCAACGGAGTTAATTAGAAAATCAGGATCGCTAACAAAACTGATTTTCTTACTTAAATTGGAGTATTGATTATTCCTTTTGCAGTAAGATTTGTATAGAGTTCCAAATTATAAAACAGTAGTATTATTCTTAAAATAGGGAAATAATCCCGTGTTGTCAAGTAATGTGGCCAACGCTGAAAACTCTTGTATTGGATTCCCTTAATCCCGATCGCTAAATCTCGATATACATAGTGGACACTTTTTAGCTTCTGCAAAATCCTCTCTTTTAGATCGGTTCTGGCAAACAAGAGTTCTATTATTTATTGCGAGCAAAATATCTCGACTTCTGATTCTGCAATCGACACTCTAATCGGTTGCATCTTAGATACTTCCCTGGATATTAATTTAAGTCATAATATTTCTGAGAATTAATAAAAGATGAGATCAAGAATTTATCTCAATACTGACCGCTTTCTTGCCGAGTGTGATCCAAAGTTATTTAATGATTAAATTATTTCAGTGTTGAAACAAATCTGATGGCTACCGGAGCAACAAGCAAGCTAAAGATTAAGGGGGCTAGATACAGTGACTCCGGGAACTATACTTGTACAATGATGGGAATGAAAGCTACCACGTCAGTTGAGCTTAATATTCAGCCAGGTATGGTTTGGTTGGATCTGTCTTGGAAACTCTTTTTATCCTATTTTGTATTAACATGATATTGAAATTCGTTGAGGAATCTTTGAAAAATAAAAAAGTAATATTTTAAGGGATTGGTGATGTAATTTCAATTGACCCTCTATTTATAGATTTGTTTGCCCGATTCACAGCAAATTCCAATACAACTTTATTTTAAGTTAGTTTTTTATTCCTGATCTATGAATTTACAAGTTCAATTTTCAGAAATTTAAGTAAAGATATTTTCATAATTTTAGAGCAGACTTAAGTTTAAAGTTTACTATTAAATGTGAATTGTGCATTCAACTCTTTAAACTGTGGAACACTTGAAATTACGGAGACAGTCCCTTTAAATAATCCTCCGACTGAATTAAATTAGTAGTGTCCCATATATATATATATATATATATATATGTCGGATAAAGTTCATATTAATATTTCAAAATAATCAAATGCCTTTTCTAAGTCCAAATGTGAAAATCAAAAATAAATTAATGTCAGTTTAAATAAAGACACAATTGGAAACAATCTGGCTTTTTACGAACGTTTGAAATTCAAACTTAGAATTTATTGTGAAAAAAATTATAAAAGCGTTAAATAATGTATAAATTGTAATAAGTTTAACCTTGTTAACTATAAAAGCGTTAAATAATGTTATTATTTATATATACAAAAATGCAAGGCATGGAAGATAGAGAATAGTTATTAAAACGTATAATGTTTTACTTACATCTTTAAGATGTTAGATTCCAGTACTTTTCGACCGTTTTCGCCACTGATTGAACAAGAATTCATTTCATAATAAACCAAAAATAAATATCTGTAAATTTTAGCCTCGTCAAATAGTCAAATGCCTTTTCAAAGTCCAAATGTGAAAATCAAAGTCGGTCAGAAGAATGTTTATCGAAGTTAGGAGCACTTTATAAAAGTTTTAAATCTTCTACTTGCATCTCTTAAATATTAGATTCCAGTATTTTTGCTTCTGGTTAAACAATACTTTAATTAATAATCAACATATTATAAGGACCCGAAAATGTTAACCTCATATAAAATCATTGGAAACGATAAAAGATAATTTTCGAAAATGGTTTTCGAGAACTAATGACAAAGAAAGAAGTTTTTTAATTCTGAGTTAATTATTTGTATTACAGGAAAGAACGCTCAGCCCATAATGGACGACGGGGGGAATAGTTGCTGTCCTCCCCTAGCTCCAGTTTACACTACTCTCCTCATCCTGCTCATCCAATCCTCATCAAACATTTAAACATTGTCAGAGTATTCAGAATATAGAGACCTTCCATTAACAAGATTAAAATAATTTAAACTGTCACTTCAATTTTAGAAAAGTGTTGTAGTATATATTGTTTTGTAAAGTTTATTCAATAGAAAAGTTTTCTCATTTTCTTGATATTTCTAGAAAGAAAATTAAGATGAATGAGTTTTAAAAACACAAAGGACAAGTCATATGTTCCAGTTTAACATCAGGTTGCAATTATAATGCATTTAAGATTTATTAATGATACAGGTGGCATTCATTCAGATTTATAAAGTTTTAAAGTTTAAGATTGTACAGGGTATTTCAAAAAACATAGGAATTAAATGACGAATTCGATGTCGTCGTTGTTCTAAGCGGGATTATTTTGTAGATATGAGTTTGCAGTATTACAGTAAAACATTAACATGGAAAACTACCAGTCTCAGGATTTCCAAAATGTGGTCTACCATTTTTTCACCTTCAAAATTGAGATATTTAGAAATTTGTCCAGATTTCAGTTAATTAAACAAATTTCTTCAAAAGTTTAATATCTCCGTCAATTTTAAAGATACAAAGAAGGTAGAGCAAATTTTGGAAGCACTCTTGACTTTTAGTCTTTTTTTTGATGAACTTTATGTCATTTATCAGTTATCGAAAATCAAAGACGATATTCAAGTCGTCTCTCAATTCCCATATTTTTTGGGACACCTTGTACCTATAACGATGTTTTTAATTAATGTATTGCATATTGTGATACTCACGTTAAATATCATTACCTACCCCCTTACCTTCAATGTAGAAAAACATAATTTATAATTACAAGCTTGTGCATATATTATCTGCTCCTAAAAAATTTTGTTAGCAACCCCAAAACCTGAAAATGTTATAGGAGTTGCTCCTAGCCACTGCACATGGAGAGCTACGGGCAGCCTAGGGTTTTAACGAACTAATAAACATATTTTTCTTATTTATTCTAGGTTCCTTTCCATTAGAAAAGAAAATGCCCAAAATTAAGTTCAAATGTTAAAAAAATTCACAATCCCAAAACACCAACTTTCCCCAGCATCATACACTCTAAAAAACACCCAACTCAAAATTTTCCTAAGGTATGTTTAATTCTGGAGTTTCCTCTTGTTCTTTTTTTTTAAAAGTATTCTAACCTGTCGGTGTCCAACACATCCCTTTTAGTCAATTCATGATTATTAATCTACCNTCTTGATTCTAAAAACTTTTTTCTTCAATTTCTCCCTTTTCCTACTAAAACCGTCTTCATAGGTTGACCGTTAACAATATCCTTTTCTCTCCAGGGCAATAGAGTGAATTTTTAACTTTTCCTCTCTAAACCAAAATAAATCAATTAATTAACAATTGGAATATTAGAATGTATGTACATATGTAAATAATTTAGATCGTATAAATTGTTACAAATACTTAATAAATAAATCAGATCTTTATTGTGAGTTTTACTTCTTGAATTAGTGTTTAAAGATCTTAGTTTACAGTTAATTTCGATATTACAACACTCAATTTACTTCTGTTTTTATCTTTTCTGTGAAGTTTTGTTTTCTTAAATTTGAAAACTGCAATTTTAAGATTTAGCATCAAGATTGGGTTCTTTTGGTTTCTGCACCAAAAGTAATCCAAAAGGTGTGAGCTCTCACACAAAACTCAATGACAGTTTTACCAAATACTTATTTAAAAAATGTTTTGATAAAATTTCTTTATTGTGCTTTGTTATACATGCCCTGGGCGTCAAAAACAAGTACTAGTGAGTAAGATAAAATCATATGCCAAGGTGTTGCGACACTTTGAGGTTGACTGCATTCTTAAAAATTTGATGGAGCTTTTTATAGCCGCCTAGAGCTGCGTACATCTAGCTTAATCTATCTTAAAGGTTCAGAATCTTTTTCATATTTCTTTGAGGCTAACAATTTTTGCAAAGAAATGTTTCAGATTTATTAACTTTATTTAATTAATTGTATCACTCTCAGATTTTCATCCTAGAAAAAAAATTTTTGTCGCAAAAAAAGTATTTCAAAACTCGTTCATAATTTGTCTTTAAAAAAAGATTTTTTTATTGTTTCCTACATTATGGAAAACATGCAAGATTTAAAAACTAAAATTACAGAAACTTATGTTCAAATGTGGTTTACTATTCAGTCTACATACATACATGGTGTACATACAGTAATAACCATAAAACTCTGGAAAAGGAAAACGAGGATTTTTAGACTTAAGTTATGACTTAAATAGTCATGAACATGAGACGCAGCAGTTGTGCAGCGTATACAACCTATTTTAGTTAATAAGTGATTAGATAACTTACTCGTAAAATTATTATTAACACTATAAAATACACTTTATCATTTCTTAATCTTTCAAAGTTTTCTGGTTTTCACAGTATTTACTAACAACAGATTTAAACCAGTTTTAGTCTGGGGAAATGAATTTATAAACAGACATAATTTCTTACCTTTGAGAATACCTAGAGCAGTACAGAGTATTCTTAATTTCATTACTTATCCTTATTAACATCTTCTAAATCTTGTTCCTACCCATATTCCTAAAACTTTAAATTATTCCTGTCCTTAATTTAACCCCTAATCCTAATATATTCATAATCTCATATCATAGGGCTAAAATTATGAACCTTAATCCGTTTTCGTAATCTTCATATCAAACAGATACTCTTTTCTTATTTTATCCTGCTTGAACCTTATGATCTGTAAAACTTAATTTTTAGTTTAAATTTAAAAGTTAAAATCTGAAACCAGAAGTTACAAAGTAGCAAATTATCTCGTTTATTCGAATTTCAAGACTTGAGAGTGATTAAAAAGTACACATAGTTCATTAAGGAAGAATACCAGATGATCGAAACCCACTTGATCAAAATTCAAGAGTTGATTAAAAAAACTGAGTACATTTTCAGTCATAGACACTTGTTCAAAATAAGCAAATATGTACTATTGTAGCATATCACTTTGTTTAAGTAGTTTACATTCCTTCTTCAAACTGCAGAACACTATTATTCTAACAACGGTATGGGGGTTTCAGGTGTATCTTCCTTGCTTCTGTCAGAAAAGAATACGGGGAAAAAAGTCTAAAACAAAAAAAAAAGAAAAAATAGGTGTTTCGCGAGCTAATCTACTCGCTCAAAATATTCTTGAGTTATTAAACCTCGTCATGATCTGCTAAAGGTTCATTGGAACTTCTCGTAAGCCTCTCTCAACTCAAATCTACTTCTTTTAGATCTTCCTCTCAACAGTAACAGTGCTCTGGTTATGAGGTACACGGTTTAATCTAAAAAGATTGAGAGAAATGTTTATAGAATAATAAAAGATTTATCATATTACTCGAATAACGAGAGAATAATCATATTTGTTACAAGATTAAAAATTCAGGTATTTCAAAGCTAAAAAAGTGCGATAATCTTTAACAAGCTCAAAACTAAGTTTTAATCCATATATTCAAAAGATACAATGTGCGATATTCTTAAATAAGCTCAGATAATCGATAAAACCATAGATAAAGCTTAAATGGTACCTTAATGTGCCATTAGCCAATTCACAACTCGGTATATCAATCAAATATCAATATGGAACTGACAAGAAAAATAAACGCAAAGTATAGTTCTAACACAAAGTTTATAAACCAAAACTGGTTTCATAGCTGAAGTACAGTCTGTACAGACTCATTCTCCACTCCATCCACAGAGGCGTCACATCTTTAGTGCAGGGAACTCAGGGGCGAGGAAATACAGAACGTGACGACAAAAATGAAGCAAAAAAATGAAAAAATATGCAAATTTTAAATCAGGTAAGTTCCGAAATCATTGAGTCCGTGCAATGATATTTTTAAATTTCGGAATTGATAAAAAATGTTTTTTTTAACCCTATCTCTGCTGGGGTATTTGAAAACCAGGATATGGGGGGGGGGGGGTCAATTTGACCCCCCCCCCCTCTAAATCCCATGTTTGATGTCCAAATATGACAAATGATACATCATTGGAAAGCTCTTGTGCTCTACTTTTAGAATCTGCAAAAAAATTGCAAATTTGCAAAAACTGAAATTTTTATCGCAAAATCCAGTTATATAGTAAAAATGTTTGCAAAAAATTTTATTTTCAAAAAATGAAAAATTATACATTTTTGAAAAACCCTTGACCATGCCATTTAAAATATGCAAAAAAATTTGCAAAATTTTAAATAACCTGATTTTTAATCAAGAAAAACTAAAAATGTGCAAATTTACTTTGACAGGTTGTTTGCAAAAAATTTGCAATTTTTTTTCGCAAAACTTGTGCAATTCGTTTCCATTTGTCGAAGGCTTTCCAAAAAGCTAAATTTTATCAAAATCTGACAAGTGGAAGTGGGTCAAAACAAAGATTTAGTTTGTTACAGGAAAAAACAGTCATTCAGGCAGTGTGCCTGAGGACTCAGGCAGTTAGTATTAAAGCCCGGTTTTAGGCCTAAAGGGAGGGCTTTGGGTATGTAAAATTTCAACAGCCTCAGACCAATACTTTTGAGTTATGTAAAAAAAACTACAGGGGGGGGGGGTCAAATTGACCCCCCCCGCAGGAATAGGGTTAAACAGTAATGCGTTTCTAATGGCCAATAGAATCAAATTGTGTTTCAGTGGCTTTTATGCTAATAAACCCAGGGCTGGAAATTCTGAAAACAAATTGAAAATTTTTCAATTTTCTGCCAATATATTGAATATGCAGAGTATGGGAATGGGAAATTTGAACCTAAAAGTCAAAAGAAACTTTTGTATCAGGTGGATGGTTGAGGATCAGTGAAGAAATTACTTGTGTACATAGTTCCTTAAAGGGACTGTAAACTAATTTTAAGATTGGTCCGTCCGAATTTCGTTCACAAAAAGAAACCCAAATTTAAAATTATCATTTTTTAAAATAAAACGAAGGTTTCATAGTAACAAAAAGTTTTGGTTGAATAGATTATTTCTTTTTTTTTAATGTTTACCTCGATTTATAAATTTTTGATTAAAAAAATATAACATGGTCGGTAACATTCTTGAGAGGTAAACATGCTAATTTGAAATTTGTGAGCTATTGTGGCTTTAAGTTTTCAACCTTTCATATTTGAAACATTGACTGTCAAAATTAATAGCTTAAAACATCAAAAGTCAACGACAGCACGACAGCAGATTGCAAAGATACTTGAAAATTTGAGTTTGAGGAGAGTAACCAGTTTCTTTCCTGTTTAATGATTTCATCTTAGGAAACAAACTGTATCACTCTTCAGTCCGGACTGGTATTAGTAAACACTACGGCACTATCCTTGTATTTTTTTTTCTGATCATGCAATTTAAACTAATGTGATGATATTTGCATTGTTAAATAATGTTCATACTTTATCCAAATTTTTTGTGAATTTAAAACAAAACTGTTCCTTTCTTAAATTTAACATAAAAAATTGTGATTAAAAATGGTAACTATATAAAATGGAGGTTTTATATGATCCTTTTTTTTATTTTTTCTAAATCGTTTTCTTGCTAACGCATGGTCCTTGTTTGAATTAGGAGAATGACCCAAGATATAAATAACATTTATGTATGATTTATGTCCTGACAGTTTTGTATTAAAGTCTACATTTTTCATTATTGTTCAATCTTGGAATTTGATAAATATTTTGAAACTAAGGTTCCAGTGCGCTGCACTGCTTTCTAGTAACAATTTTTATCTGTTTATTTTTTTACATCTAACTTAGAAATATCTAGGGTTTACACCGACAGGTTCTAAAGATATAGGATTATAAAATTTGATTTTGGGGCAAACACTCATTTCCTTTGCAATTTTTCTTTACATTTTTGGGTCAAATTTTCGAAATGTCTTTAATTTTGTGTCCTTTTCTAATCCTGGCAGGCCATACACTACCTGTAGGGGTGAGATCTCATACAATTTGGGCCTCCAAGAAATTCGTCGTGTCAGAGAAAAGTTGAACTCAACCCAACAATTATTCAATTAAGGTAAATATATCTATGCATACGGATTTGAGGCACCCTGGACTAACCGTTACGAGATGCGTTTGGTTTCGTTTTTTGTCTATAATACTACCATTTTAAACTTACGGAGTTTTTTTCTTTCTTTTTCTTTATTAAACGCATCTGCGCACACAACAGTATTAAAGAGAAATTAATGTGTAATTGTTCAAATTGTGTTCGAAAATCACAGTTTGCTAGTACAA